CTTCCCATCCCCTGCCGTAACGCTAATACTCTACATGCATTCTCAGAAAGTGTCTAATGGTGAGGGTGTCATAACACTCACGGAACCCTGCTTCAAGTCTAGGAGAACCATTGCCATCTAAATCGTGTCAAATGGCGTTCAGCAGTGGTTGCACCGATGGACACTGCTCTGGAATGTTTTGTTGAAGACAGGTAATGCTGGTAGCCGAAACGTTGAGCCAGTTCATGCCTTCTTCTCCCGGCCCCTTGCCAACTCAGTGGGACATGGCTGAATGCGGTTTTTCATGGATCAGTTGGACCTTCTTGGCAGTAGTTTCTTGAGGAAGGCTGCTGGGGAAGGTGGTTTTTCCTTCCGCCATGATCAGGTTCCCTAGTGGTACGAACGAAGACCATAACTCGTGTCACGTGACGTCATGAGCGGCAGGTAAAACGTGGCTCGGTTTTCACTTCATTTTTTTCAATTGCATCACCGTAATAATGTAAACCACGAGTACGCAGGCACTGCACGCACACCGCAACAGTCTCCCCGAACGTCGTGAGCAGCGGGAAAACAAAGCCGAAAAACTTGTCCCGCTGAAAGCTTTCAACTGATGGCCGATTCATTCGTCCCAGCGACGTCATCAGCAAGAAGCAAGACCCGCGTTATTACGAATACCTGCTTGGTTTTCAATGCTGTCATCAAATAGCTTGCGAATCTTTGTGATGTCATGTGAAGTAAAAGAAGTCCAATCTTCACATGTGTGCTAGTGACGTCATGAGGAGCACAACGCTCGTTGGGATTTTTACCCAGCCTGGCAACGACGTTTCGTCAGCTGATTAGACAGCACTCATTACAGATCTAAGCCGGCTCTCCGGAGGCGCTGTCGGCTGAAAGGTAAAGAGGACTGACCCTGGGCTCCCTCCTTAACAGAAGCTGGTGCGCGCCACTGACCGAGAGTAACCTGGAGGATCAAACCAGGAGTATGCTGCAACATCAGCTATGAGTTAGCCTCAGGCCACCCTTACTTTGTACCTGTCTGTATCAGCATTCTAGCACGTCATATTTTGGATCCCCGGTGCAGCATGGACCTTGATTTGAGGTGACCAATATGCGTGCATTATTTCTCTAAAGGCATTGATCCAGATGCTCAGTGGTGGCCAAATGAGATCTAATTTAGCCAAAACTAGTAATAGTGCATTCACTTTCACCAATGTATACTGCATTATGGTCATCTTGATGTTCTTCTAGCTTGCAATCCCAGCTTAATTAAACAGTATGCAGTGGCCATCAGGAACAAGTCAGCCTCCTACTCTGCACCACAACTTCACTCTGGCTGCTGTAAAATAAAGGATGCTGGATGTCCCAGGTCTCAGTGCTGCTTGATGGAAATGTGCAATATTCAGAGCTGTTGAAGCAAGCGGGAGATGTGATGAAACAAGCTCACTTATAACTACTGGTAGATTTTTAGGTTTAGGTGTACTTTGCTACCTAACACTAGAAAAAATTGTATACCATTTGTTGTGGTTAAGGCGGAATATATCATAAATAATCTCAAAACAGGTAGAATCATGCCCCTATCTTCAACTTTTAGTAAATATGATAGCGAGCCCCCGAGCACCGCACAGCCCTGCCCCGCCAGGACTCCCCAGCGCTGTTTCTGTTTGTGTAATTACATGTTGTGTAATTACACAACAATTGTGTAATTACACTGTGTTGGTGTTTGTAATTTCTGCTTATCAAGAGCCATAAAAAATGTAGGGGACCAAGGTCACACAATAATGCAATGAAAATCATTTATCACGTTTAGGTATGTTTATGAAACACACAGGCCAGAATGGTCCAGAACATATCCTAAACTAGCCTAACCTAACCTAACCTAACCTAACCTAACCTAACCTAATGTAATCTAACCTATCCTTACCTTATCTTACCTTCCTAACCTAACTTAAACGAATGTGACAATTGTATCCCTTTTTGTGCGATTGTATCCTCCTCGCCGAGGGCAATTGTGACAATTATATCCCTCTCTTACATGGTCTTTTTAGGTCACTTCCGGTTGACCTAGGGTCATGAACCCAATTAGTAAAATGTAGCCCCGGTCATTCTCTACCATGTACCCTAGACTCAACCCCTAACTCAAAACTTTTTCGGGGGACCTGTTCGCGCAAAGGCATTTTTTGGAAAAATCGTTTTTTAAGTTTTTTTCAACTTTCCATATATGCTAGAGTTTTGATTTTTTGACACGTTTAAGAACGTCCTAGGTTAGGCCTTATGTCAATTCGTAACCTTCGTAACCTAGACAGAAAAAAGTTTTTTTTTTAATGCCGAAATCGGCAAGCCTATACGACCCCATTTCCCCGTTGACCGCATATGAGCTGATGTTTTGAACACCTTCCGAGACGTTAGGTTATGTTAGTGTATAGAAATACTACTCAACAGATTTACTTGATTCAAAAAAAGAACGATGTCCCCGTCAAGACGCATCTTTCCTTTTTTGAAATTTTGAAATCGGTCATCATTTGGCCGAGATAACTCAAAAAACCAAACACATGTAACGCTATGGGAAAAAGTTTTTCCAAATTTCTCAACTTTTTATACATCTGATGCGAAAACATTCAACAGCAAAAGATAGCTCTTGTGCTCAGCAACACGTTGCAAAAAAACAAATCGAATATCGGTTGGTAACTTTGGCAAATATTTGGATTTTCATGGTTCCCGAATAAACTAATGTGACAATTTTTATCCTCGTTTAAGGGGGTCTTCTACAGCTAATAAAACATACTAAATCGTAACAGAAAAACCTCCCTCTTGGTGCACGCACTAGGGGGACACAGCTTTCATTTCCCACCCAAAAAAAAATTTTGAAAAATTTGACATTTTTTGAAAAAAGTTAGTTGTAGTTCAAAATTTTCCATTACCAGGTATAGAACATATGACGTCAAAACTTTCAAATTTAATTCTGCGTCGATTGCAATCAAAATCAAATTTATCTCATTTGGTTAGAGAGATATACGTGTTGCAATTTGATATAGACCAAAATTGGCCGATTTTCAAAATTATTGGATTTTGTTGTAACGCACGTCATTTTACGCGGAATGTTATGGCGCATCTGGTGATGTATCTTTTAACATGATAAAAATAAAAAGTTTTGAGTTATTTTGAAAAACTCGAAAAATTGCCAAAAATTTGAAATTTTTTTAGAATGTGCGGGAACTTTTAAAACATTGTTTCTAATGCATCGTAACACGCTGAGTTTGAATCTGCAATTAGATTGATATAACTTGATAACTTTTATTTTAAAACAACAAAAAAACCTAAAAAAACATATAATATCGATAATTTTTTTTGGATTTCATGAATTTCAAAAATTTGACCAATGCACTAGATGCAACTTGTGATCTAAATCAAATGGTCTCTTGACTATTTTTGTCCGACGCTTAGTTTTCTGAGAAAACACGTTTAAACTATTCGTAAAATGCAGCAAAATATAGGCAAGATTCCTTATCTGTTTTGACAACTTTATTTAGTGTTCAGGAAGCTAATACTTTGACAGAGGCTAGAATCAGTCATTCCCTTTCTAGCGCCGTTTCAGAACATCGTTTGGTTACGTGATCATGGAGATACAGCTCATTAAGTAAAGACCGTTTTAAACCCCATTCATCCCCAGTGTTAAACTCTCCTATTCAGTCTGATTCTGAATTGTTTGACATGTTACCCCTAAATAGCGATGAAAAAACTTTGCGAACATAAAAGTTTGCGAGCGTTAAAGATGCGCTAATTCATTGTCTACAAGATGATGTTTTCGGTATTAAGATATCTTGATTTCAAAGACACCATAACGATTATATGGAGGTAGTTTTTTATGGGGTAGTTTTCCCCATAGCGTTACGTTTGGACGACGACGGCGCAAAACAGGTGGTGTTTGACATGCTCTAACTTCAAAACCAACAAAGCCATAGACAAATCTTGGCACCGTGTAATAGCCCGTTTCTTGCTCTATCAGATCAGAAGAAATCAAAACAATAAAATGAAATTTTTTAAAAAAATATATGAAAAATTTTGGGTCAATATTTGACATATGTATGCAAAAATTAAAAGCCATCAGCCATGTTTTTCTGCACCACAATAGAAGTGAAATTGTCATGATGTAGACAGATTTTGCTGAGATGAAATTTACGTCCATGATATAGACTTAACTCAAAAAATATATTTTGACATATTTTGCACCAAATCTGGAAATTTTTTGGGAACATAAAAGATGCGCTAGTCAGTGTCTACAAGATGCCGTTCACACATTAAGATATCTTGGTTTCAAAGACAGCATCAACGATTGTGTCTAGGTAGTTTTCCCCATAGCGTTACGCGTGGCACTTAGAAAAAATCCGGTGAAAACAGGTGGTTTTTCCTGGTGCATGTCAAGAGTTTGACATGCTCTAAACTTCAAATCGATCAAGCCATGGACTAATCCTTGGTACCATGTAATAGCCTGTTCCTTACTCTATGATGTGAGAAGAAATCAAACAAAAAAATAAAAATTTTAAGAAAAAATTTTTAGAAATTTTTTGGTCAAATTTTGACATATGTATACAAAAATCAAAAACAATTCAGGCATGTTTTTCTGCACACAATAGAAGTGAAATATCATGATGTAGACAGAGTTTGCTCAGATATGACCCACCTCCAATGATATAGACTTAAACTCAAAACACATTTTTGACATATTTTGCACCAAATCTGGAAAATTTTTTGAGAACATAAAAGATGCGCTAGTTCATTGTCTACAAGACACCGTTCTCAGCGTTAAGATATCTTGGTTTTCAAAGACAGCATCAATGAATGTAACTAGGTAGTTTTCCCCATAGCGTTACGCGTGGCACTATAGAAATCCGGTGAAAACAGGCGTTTTTGGTGGTGCATGTCAAGAGTTTGAAGCGCTCTAACTTAAAAACCAAGCAAGCCATAGACTAATTCTTAGTACCATGTAATAGCCCGTTCATTTCTCTATAATGACAGAAGAAATTAAAACATTTCAGTGAAAAAATAAAAAAATATATATACAAATTTTTGGAACAATTTTTCACATATGTATGTCAAAATTCAAAAACATTCAGGTATGTTTTACTGCACACAATTGAACTCCAATTGACATGCTGTAGTTTGGTTCTGCTCAAATAAAACTCAACCTCAATGATATAGACTTAAACTCAAAAAATATATTTTTGACATATTTTGCACCAAATCTGGGAAAATTTTTGAGAACATAAAAGATGCGCTAGTTTGTTGTCAACAACATACTGTTCTCAGCGTTAAGATATGTTGATTTTTAAAGACAGCATCAACGATTGTAACGAGGTAGTTTTCCCCATAGCGTTACGCGTGGCACTTAGAAAAATTCCGGTCAAGATGACGGTAATAAATGGATGTGTTTGATGGCGTCTGGAACAACCATCGTCAAACCTACATCAACCAAATTTCTGCGGTGTCCTTACAGAACCCATATTAAGCGGTAATCAAAATTTCAAAACTTTTTTTCGAAACATGACATCACCACAGAAGTTTGAAATTTACACTTTACTACGTGATTTAACATGGGAAAAATTTACCAAATTTTATATGTCATATTTTTGTAAAATTTTTCTTCTCAGTAGATGGCCAGCGTCACAAGCTTTCTGCCAATACCATATTCATGCACATGACTAGCATGATAAGGTGTCCAGTAAAGACAAAAGACATGAAACCCTATACATATGAATATATAACCACTTTTGGAAGCGTACAATATTTAAAGAGAAACAAAAAAAGACCATAGACAGAAGCAACAATATCACATCCAATGTGGAAACGTAGTCTGGGCATGATACAAACAAGTTTGATGTAGGGCCGTTCAAAAAAAAAAAAAAAATTTAGACAATGAAAAAGTTTTTTGCTTATAAAAAAAAAACTAAATATAATTTTGGAACAAATCCAAAACCAAAAGAAGCAATGCGCTACGATGTATAAGCAAGCAAAAAAAATCCTAGGTTACGGCCTTATTTCCGGATCGGGACCAAATTGTACAATTTGTGCTTTTTTTCAAAACCATGTATATCGTTAAATTTTTGGGTTACATCAAATTTTTTGCACCGTTCGATCGATTTGTCTTTACAATGCGCATCTTTTACTAATACACTTGCATCACAAATTCCCTACCGAAAATTTTTTGTACCCCACTCGGTACAATTTGTGCAAACGAGGATATAATTGTCGCATTAGTTTATTGGAACTTGGAGGAATCGGGCGTTGAAGTTTCTTGAACACGAAAATCGGCCAACTTTGCCATCTAATAACTTCTACAATTTTTGGATTTTCGAAAAAATAAAAGAGGAA